AGAGCCCTACTGCAAGGCACAAACTCTGCTTTGGCGTAGCACCATCACTTTTAGTCCGCTCCAAAACCTGCTGTGTTAAAACGGCCAACTCCCCACTCCCAAGCCTCAACCGGAGAACTACACAGAGCAAGGACACTTAATTTTCCAAAATCTAGTAATTTCTTTTTTTCTTGTCCCTGTAGGAAGACTTATCTTTTTTGCAGAATATCCCAAGCACATGGTCCCTTTTTCAACAAAACAAGAAACTTTACACTTTCTTTTTTTGCGGGTGTGAACTTATCCCAAGAGGGTCAATGTCTGTCCAGCATATCTGGAGATTTGACCCCTTACTTATAGTACAATTGCCACAGAAAAGTTTCTCTTCTACAGTACCCTAACAAGGTCCTAAAGACATTCTTAGCTACTGCAAAGCCTGGATTTTGGTAGTCTTAACTCATTTTGTGAATGATGAAATATTTACCAGGCATAAACCTATCTTCTACCAGATCTTTAAAGTCTATTCAGAGAAACAAAGGAAGAGAAAGAAATGGCAGAGAAAAACTCAAAGCCTCAAGGCCACCATCAGCCCAAGGATTTGTGGTTCTCCTGAGAGCATATTTTTTTAGTCTCTCTTCAAGCTGGTACAGGAGATTGACTTTTAAGGTTGATGGCATTGATCTAATTCACAGCCCTATACTCATTTATCATGATTCTTTAATCAATAACCCAGATACTTAAGATACTAGGACTTTGGGTTCTTATTAATCTAGATGACATTTTGATAGTATCCATCTCCTCAGGGTCTCTTGTCTTTTAAGTCAGCGCTTCATTACACCTCATCTTTCCCCAAGGTGTGTGAGCAGTGGAAATACATTAATATCTCTCACCCTAGCCTATGTTTGGGTGTGGCAGGACCATGTTTTGGACCCCTCAGCAGGTTTTACCATTGTAAGGGCAGATGGATCAGGTGCTGAGCTGGTCAAAGCTGGTATTCTTTTAGCAGTCATTCTGATTTTCACCAGTCTGAGTTCTCTGTCTCACAGTTCACACAGGTGCCTCTACTTCTAACACAAAAGGGGATGCTGAAGTTTAACCAAAAGGCACTCCCAAGTAAAGCAGGTCTCATTATTTCATCTCTTCACCTTTTTCTCCCTAAGCATCAAGAGTAAGCTTTGAGAGAGAGTTTACTGTCAGACTCTTCAATGAGAGCTTCAGTTCTCCAGAATGAAGCAGCCTGTCTAGAGCACTCAAATGTTCCTGCTTTACACATATCCTCTCCACTGTGAAGTTATATCAAAATACATGCTGGCAATAAGATTACAACAAAACCACTCTTGTTTATTTAAGCACAAGTTCCTGGTATGTTGATGTTTTTTGTTAGGATGGAGGATTTTTGCTTTTCTTCCAGGAGGAGGAAAAGGTTATTTGGCTTTCATTGTAAAAGCAATGCACCTGAACTGCAAAAGACAGCTGAACACTTCAGTGAAAGCAAGCTAAGAATAAACAGAAACTTTCTGGTCCTTCATGCTGAGAAATAAACCCTCTCAAGCTCTGAGTCTTCAAAGAGTTGTGTGCTGCAGCTCAGTCTCAGTGTACGACACTGCATCTTCAGCTGGTGGGAAAGCAGGGAAGCTAGTGCAGTTTCATAAAATATCTGAAATTGTTTCTGCGAACAGGGTTTATGTGCCCCTGGCTGAATCTTCTTCAGCTCCTGTAGAATGCAAGGTAAGAAAAGCACAAGGAATAAAAGTCTGAGCCTTGAATGTGTCTGTATCATGAGGCCTCTCAAAATGTGGGGGGCTTCATGACATCTCAAAACTGAATTTCAGTTTGCACATCTCAGGTTAACGAAGCCATAAATATCCTGCAATTTTTTCCCCAGCTCAGGCCAGCCTCACCAATTCTCTAACTGATTTCATGCAGATCAGTGTCAACACTTCCTGATCTCCTATCTCTTCCAAGATCACTTGGTTACAGAACTGCTTTCCCCCAAAAACAGGCTTCACAAACTTCCAAGATATGAAAAAAATTCTTTAAGTTACAATGGAAGGTTTCTGGAGAGAAGGCAAGAGAGCAAGGACAATGAGTTTTCACAAATCTAGGAAAATTGCCCTCATAAGCTTTTACTATTGTTCATGAGAAACCATTGCTCTACAAAAGAACCCCAATCTTCCTTTGATTGGATAAGTGTTCAATAATTATAACTCGCAAATGTAAATGCATACACAAGGATTAAAATGCTGTCAGTGGTGGTGCTGCTGTCATTCAGAGCATTATTTGTTTTGGAAGTAATTCAACCTGTAGCAGTGAGGCTCCTCAGAAAGCATAGTGTTACTGCAATCCAGAGCTATGGGATTCCTGCCTCCTCACATCTCTCCTGCTACAGACATGTCTTCTCTCCAGTGTGGTGACTGTAGAGTGAGTGTCCATGTGGCTGCTACTGAGTTTTCTATCTGTCACTATAATGGCTGTGTGCCATCACAAGGCTCACTCAGTACCAAGTGTCCACACTGCTTCCTTATCACTATGAAGCCTTCCTGTCCCATAAACTTCCTTGTTCAGCCTCACTGTTAATTGTAATCTCACAGCACTAGAAGGCAGGATTATGTCCACTAAGGTCTGTAAAGTAGCACAGTATGGTTGTGCTGCATCAAATCCACATGTACCTATGAACTTTGCATCAATTGCATCTGAAAAACAGATCTATTGCTTTAGACAGAAGAGCAAATATAGTCACCATATACCCACTAAGATAGTTTCCCTAAACTCACCATAATGGTGTGGATGAAATCTAATCCTGTACAAGGTCTTCACAATCCCTTCCATTGTTTAAATAGGTTTATCTATGAGGGAAATGGTGCCTGAGCTTCTGTACAGAGGGGTGAATTTCACCAGACTATTTACCCAAAGCCATTGCTTCCCAAATCAGTCTAACAACTACAGCTGCTCCCTGACATGGAGGGAAGTGCCATCTTTTAGAAGGGCTGCTGCATCTTGTATCTCAAAGGCAGAATAAGTAATGTGGGCTGACAGATACTTTCAGAGCTGTTTTTGCATTGTAGAACTCACATAGCAAATACATAAATATATCTACTATGCATGCAAGAAAGACTGTATTTACACATTTCTTTCTTGTCATATTTAATTCATACCCACACACTCAGTCTGCTGTGTTCCAGCTTGGTCAAATCCTTGTTCACCAAACTATCTTCCCTCTGCAACATCCTAGGGGCACACAACTGAGAGAAGAGGGAAAGCCTATTAAGTGATGAGGATGCAGTGTTTATAAAAATTAAAATGTTAGTTGCATGTTTGGGAAAGAATGAAAAAAAATCAAGAGCTGCATTGAAGTATGCTGAATAAATTTAAAATATTAAATCAGGCCCTTAATTACTATGTCTCTAATCTCATACAGTCACACTTCACTTTGAGGCAATTTGTGATTAAATAATAATACTTTAAGGCAAATAACAACACTTGGCACTTTTATAGTGCCTTTTGCCTAATTAGTTTGGGATTAGTTCCTTCACATTGGGTATGGGGCTTTGAAGATATAAAGTGCTAAGTATCATTATGACCTGAGGATCTCAAAGCATTTTACCCTATGCATTAATTAAGCCTCAGAGCACTCCTGTGAGGTAAGTATTATTGTATCCTTCTGCATTTGGCAGGCCCAAGTGGAGACAGACTTGGCCAGTGTTTTCAAACTTGCAGGCAGATTTTGGAAACACTTCTGAGCCCCAGCTGCTTTCCTGGGCTGGGTGTTCCCATGGCCCTCAGCCAGAGCAGCACCTACATGAGAATCCTCACATATATCACTGCAAGGCTCCTGTAGCAGGCAGCTCTGCAGGCATGCCCAGAACTGCTGAGCATTAAGAAAACTGCATAGGAAAAAGCCATTAGATTTCATTCCCACCCACAAGAAGCCCAACGAGAAAGCTATCCTCAGTTTCTTGGTCCAAAGAGTGAAACTGAAATATTGCAACAACTCAAATCCAAGGATTTCTGTGGTGGAGTCAGACAAAAAGTCACGGTTCCCACTGTAGGTGATGCAGCCCTCAGACCCTCTCAGGAAATGAGTTTCTTTTCTTTTGTTTGTTTCCTCCAGACACCAAAACTCAGAGGCAGCCCAGGGATCACAGGCTATTACCAAAGCAAAAAGAAAAAAAAAGCAACTTACTTCTTTTTAGTTCACCCATTATGAAAACATAAATCAGTAATAAGAAGCTTTAAAATCTCCACTCTATTTATAATTAATATTGTACCTGAAGCAGTCACCTGCAGAAGAAAGAGGTATGAAAGGATTTCAACTTACTTTGATAATTAAGGGTATTTAGTGTCCTTTAAACATAAAGTTTAAAAAAGAGGAAATCCACAATCTGCCTGAATTTTCTTAGCTCAACAAAGTCTTTGAGTTGACAGCTAATAATTAATTAACAATGAATGGTGTCTTTCAGGCTGTCACGGTGATTGACACTATCATCTTCTGAAAAGTGAAAGATTTGTTAATGTGGCAGACTACAGTCTGGGAAACATTAAACCATCACAATTCCCACTGCTTTCAGCTAAATGCTTGACATGACAGGTTACCAGCTTGAGAAGAGGAGGAGGTGAACAGAACAGCAACAACCTTTGCCAGTGGAAGCTCGGTTTCCTCTCCAAGCACTAATTTCCTTCAGAAAGACAGGAGAAATGAGGGAGAAAATCCAACTTGCTGGATCAGCAAGGATGAGTCAGCAGGCTGGGAAGCAGCAAGTCCCCCACCTCCCTGTGCTGGTGCCGCTCTGGTCCTGCCCAGCAGCCCGGCAGTGACTGGAGGGACTCTGCAGATTCACTGGAATGGCTGCTCCAACCACCCTCCCTCCACTGGGATTACTCCACCAACAATGGACAATGGTGATTTATCCCTGTAGTCACTAAATAAACACCAAACAGTTGTCTAGGTTAGTAACTGAGAGCCTGCTTTCAATGATATGCATTTTTTTATTTTTTAAAAAAAAACTACTTTTACACTGCCAAAAACAAAAAATATGTGTTCTAACTTAAAACAATTGATTAATTGAGCAGCAAAGAGATACTTAATTTCAGTAAACAAGGAGTCCTGCCATGTCTCTTCTTCACTGTTGTGGTTGGCTACCTCAAATCCAGCTTCATCATCCACCTTCCTCTGCTGCTGACTCTTGGCTTTCCTTAAGCTTAACTCAAGGACAACTTCTGTACCCATGAGCTATCTGTGCTTACTGTCACCCATCTCTTTGGTCTCACACCTGCAGGTCTGGCTTGACCCTCCTGCTGCAGAGCTCTTGTTCTACAATGCCTTTATCAGCACTATCCGCTTTCTCCACCTCTATCCCACTTAATGACTGTCAGCTTTTTCACAATTCAATTGCTTCATGTGTCCAGTACACAGGAAAGACTTTTGTTTGCTTTCAGCCTCCTCCTCATTGCCATCCTTTCCATTTATAAGATCTCTCTCATTCTTTCTCACTTAACAAGACCTCATTTGCCAAGCTTCCATCCCAGCTCACCTCTATTTACACCACATCAACTCAATTCAGAACAGAAAGCAGTTCCAGTAGACTCGTGGAGACCAGAATTACCTGCTCCATCAGTTTCTCTAGCATGTCTCTAACAAAGTCTGCTTTTCTGATAAAAGTAAATCCAACTCCACAATTTATTCTTTATCCATACAGGCTTTTGCCAACTTTCTACCAAATAAAAAAAAAGGACACCAAACTTTTAGACATTTGAATGTCTTACTCTTTCTTCTCTCTTCTTCTTCTCTCTTCTTCCTCTACTTTTCCCATGAGACATAGAAATTACTTTGCTTCTGCCAGCTTTTGGTTCTTCAGGAATTGTTCTCATCCTCATCTCATTTCCTATTTTCCTGTGTCTCCTTACACTCAGCATTACCACATTCATTTTGTCCCTGCTTAGGAAATCTCCACAGTGATTCTGCTTGCTTCTCCATCTGTTGGTTCATCCCTACTCAGTCTTCTTTTGCTGATTCTGTCTGCATAATGCGTAATGCTTTTTCACACAGGAATCAGTCAATCCTACTGTCACATCAACATTCTTCTCTCTGGCCTTCCCAATACGATTGCTCCCCAGTACCATTCCCTTCAAACTCTTGTTGCAAATACCTTTTTTGGAGTTCAAATCTTTCTGGTTTTCCCCTTCCTCCTTCAGCTCTCCCTTCTCTATTGTTTATGAATTGCTCGCCTTGAGTTTTAAGGCTGTTCATGATTTACTGACACATCCCATTTCCTCTCATCTGCTCCCAAGATGTCAGTTCTTGCCTCCAATCAGCCCTTGGTACAAACTTCTTCATTTGCTGCTTTTTAAAATCAGCTCTTTTTTTGCTTTCTTTTCTTCCTTCCATGTTGTCCCTTCACATAGGAAACAACCTAAAAATTAATACGTTCCAGTTTTCAAAAGTCTTCCTTTCCATTAATACCTATAAAAAAATGACAACAATAGATAATTTTTGCTCAGATCTCTTCACTTAAAATATTGTTTCCTTATACTATTTACACTGCTGCCTACCAGGAATGGTCAAGATCCCTAAGTGGATCTTCTAGTTGCTATAGAAATACTAAATAACAAAAAGAATTTGGAACTGAAGTAGGCAAAGGACACACAATTTATAGCAGTTGCTCCTTGCAGAGAAAACTCCAGAGAGCACCTGCAAATAAACTAACAACTCCACATTCCTAGCAGGCTTACATGCCAATATTGATGAAGATGCCCAAGCTCTATACATTAGTTTACCATCCTCCTTCAGGTGTTATTTTCTTTCTTATTTTGAAGAAGGAGGTAAAGGGGAGAGATATGGGAGAGCGTTGCAAGACACCCCCCCCAGCACATAGCCTCTGAGGATGAAACTTGGGGAGCCTTGCATTAAGCACATTCAAACCACTGTGAGCTAACAGATGCACAAGAGCACAACAACTTGACCCGTGGGACTCCTGCAAGCACGGTCTGCTTAGTAAAGGCCTTAATTAACAACTTTGCAAAGGACAATGAGATTATAACAACTACTGACTGCAGGCAGCCTGTTTTTTCCTCCTCCTGTCCCCAGCTTTAGCCTGTGTCCCAGATAAATATTTTATTCTGTGCAAGCAGAAGGTTCATTATGTAAGTGACAAAGAGAAGGCATCAATTGCCATACACACAGATCCTAATGCACCTGGTTAATGTAGTTATAATATGTCACTGCAAAAAATCTTGTCAGCATTTTGTAATTAAAAAAGAAAAGCTACTACAATAATAAAGGCAATGTATTTAACAGAGAGAAATATCACAAGTAAGATGATCTTTCAGAGTAAAAATATACATTACCAAAGCAAAGCCTTGATAACCTTTCCCTACATACGCCAGTACCCTCAAATGTTCTTTGTCCCATAAAGAGCCCTTCTCCTCTCTACAATAGCACTATTCAGATAAGTAACACTGACCAATCTACAGGGCTGCAACACTTTTTAAAGGACAAAAAGCATTTCTTTTCCATTGAGTCAGCAGGATATTTATTTCCTTATAACAAAGAGTTTTCTGAACTGTTGAGAGATTTATCAAAACGGAATCACAAGTGATTCATTAAACAACCAGAGTGGAGAACTTATTAGGCATTAAAAGAAAAAGCTGCAAGTTTACAAATAAAAATAGGACTGTGTACTTGACTTTGTAAATTCTCAGTTAATGAGAAATCAAACATGAAAGGCAAACATTTAATCTAGAGTAAATTTAGTCATTTAAGTCACAGCTACTCACAATACTGCTGTCTTACACTTCAGAATACACAGCAAAGGACAATTGGCAGGGCATAAACACGTGCCTGCTCAGTGCTCTGGAATATGCTGCAGTTATTTACATATCACTTATCAAACCACCAGAATAGAGTTTCTATATTTTCTATTAGGAAAATGTCAGCTCCCTGCATTGCAATCCAGCCCATGATAAAAGGCAGGCCACAGCACTGGCATCAGCACTTCCTGTGGCAAGGCAGCACCTCTCCTTCTCCAAGGACATGCCTGGCTCACAAGGTGGGAAAATCTCATTGCCTTCCTCCTGCATGATGACCCCTGGGTGGCAAATTGCAAATGCCCAGCCAGCCACAGCACACTCAGTGGAGTTTAAGACTTACTCAAGAAAGAAGAAAAGATAGGTTTATCTTTTCACAAGCCCATCACCACATCAAGTCTACACTCCAGATTGCAGCCATGAACAGGAAAAGGCACAAGTAAGTTTGGCTTCCTCCATCAGAGCATCACCTACTGTATTTTAGCAAGGCACAACACGATACAGTCAAGACTTCACTGAACACGCTGGTCTGACACTGCTCCTTTCTTGCTACCACAACTCTAGATAGTTTTCTCTCTATTTTCTAGAGAAATAGAATTAAGATTTGCTCATTCTTTATCTTTTCCCACTAGCTAAGCTAAATACCTCCCTGCTCAGCCAGCCCTGTATCCAGGGTCCACTCTGGAGCATTAAGCTTTTCCTGCACATGCTAGAGCCCCCAGGAGTCTGCTCAGGACTGCACCCAGGAGCTGGGTGATCTCCGCATTCAGCGATCGCTCGCCGCTGATTATCCTGACCTTCCTTACAGACAGCATAGCACTGGGAAAGGCCTCCTGGGTCACAAGCTTTCAAAATCATAGTACTGGAAGAGACCCCAGAAGGCCATTTAGTTAATCTTTCTATTCATGGTGAGATGAACTGTAAATATGGTATTTGGTCGTAAAGGTCTCCAGTGATGCAGACATCACAATTTCCCTGCAAGTCTCTCCCCTTTTTGCTATCCTTTCCATCAGTGATGGTTTGTTTTTTTTCCTTAATATCTAGCTTGAAGTTTTTGCTTCAGTTTAAGGGCATTAGTTCTTGCCCTCTCTTCAAGGACAACAGATTTTTTTTAAAATACAAGTTTAAGGACAATAGTGTACTTCTTATAAAGAGACAAGTTTGCATAAGCAAAAAGCATACATCTACTTTCTTCCAAATTTGACCTATTAGTCTAACACAAAGAGTTTTTTAGAATTAAAACTTTTTTTTTTTTCTCAAAACAAGCACTACGTGATATGAGAACAGGATAAGGATCTGAGTGCAGAGAGAGGAAATATAAAAGTGATTCAAACTTTTTCCTCATTATTTCCAAATGCCTAGAGATGGCAAAGACACATGCATATCTTAGTAATGGGGAGGAAGATTAGCAATAACAGAATGGCTACCATTATTGATTTGAACAGTTTCTTTCATTCAACATTTAAAAAAAGGGATTGATCTCATCAATTCAGAGTTTCTGTCTCTGTAGTTGGACCAAGACCTTGATTATCACACAGTAACACAATTATCCTGCAGGCAGTCAAATGTAAGCCTTGCTTTCCTTCCCTGTTCATTCTCATGTTCATCCATGAGCACAGAGGGTGTTCCTCTCTAATTTGGTACCCCCCAGCACAAGCAGTTCTTCATCTGTTACTGAAATTAAGGCTGGAGGATAAAGCAAAGAGAAAATCCAGTACTGGAGCTCGAGGAGAACCAGTCTGTGCCATGAACACGTATTGAATAACAATACAATCAGGAGTGTATTGGTATTTATTGCAATCTGCCCATGGCAAGAACAGCTGAATAGTCACTATTATATGTATATTTTAAGTGTTTTATGACTTTAAAAGGGCATTGATCAGAGTATATAGGCTATTTCAATCCAGAAAAGATTCATCTAATACAATATTATCATGCAGCAGTTGGAAACAATTCCCTGCTAAGGACTCCTTCTATAGGATAGTTGTACCTACTCCAAGAATATTTCCTAAATGGAATGCTTAGGGCTTTGTTTTGGTTTTATTGGGGTTTTTTGTTTTGTTTTGGGTTGGGTTTTTTGTTGTTGGTTGGGATTTGGGGGCAGGGAATATTTTGTTTTAATTTCTTTATTCTGTCATGTCTCCAGAGCAGCAGAAAGTCAGTCTTTACTTGGCAAATGCAAAAGCTTGGACAAAACACAAACACACTATTCAGCATGTCAGGCTTACAAAGAAAGTTCTGATTCTATCAGGTTTCTACACCACATACAGCTGCAACATTTCTTTATATTACTAATCACTTGCAGTGTTTGTGTCTTGGGTTGTAACAGATGGTGTTTGTGAAGCATGCAAAAGCTTCAGATAGCCAAATGGTACAGCAGTTGAGATAAGGAAAAAACTCCTCAAAACAAAATACCCATCCCCACTGTGGAAGCAAGAATGTGAGCAGTGTTTAAATTATTCCTGGTCTTTGCAAGCACAGTGGATTTACTGACTCTTAACCCTAAACAGGACTAGAGTCAATCTTTCATATTTCATTACCTCAGTAAACCCACAAAACACCAGCTCGTAGACGTGACACACAGCAAAACAAGACAAACCACAACACAGGAAAGTTCTCTCCTTGACACTTCCTAGGCCTGGACTACAGATTTCACCAGTACCACTCAGGTGTAGCACACAGATATTTTGGTGGCATCTCAGTTCTGATGGTAAAATGCAGTACCCCGTAGGCTAGGACACTTCAAACTCATCAGGGATGCACTGTTAATGCAACCCACTCATCTGCAGAGAGTGTAGTAATCTGTTCTACAGTGACACAATAAGCCATAATTCTCAGTGCTGAGCTGTCAGCAGGTAATTTTTAGGAGACTTGTATAAGTCTCCACCTCTGGGGAACTATTTTCAGCCATGAGTTTTTTTGTCTACATGCTGATGTGGCTTAACAGACATGGAATGGATGAAGGACACAAGGCACATCTTTACACCAGCACTTAACTCCCTGACATCTCAGGAGCCCTCTTGGCAGTTTCTCTTGTTTAACAAAGAAAGAAAGATGCTAATGCCCAGGGCAGATGCCAGTCAAGACCACCTAGGCTTGTTTTGAGATGAAAGAATAGAGAGAACAGAACTAATTTCTGTCAATGCTTTCCTGGATTCAAGGCCTTTCTAATAGCATTCTCAAATAATACAGTTAAAAAAATATGACTGTCTGTTGCCTGGGGTTAATAATCCTTCAACAACATTGCAATAGAGTATTAGATGGGGGGAAAAAAGCATGCTTCTTAACTAAAAATTGTGGCTGATACTGGATCTTTTTGGACAACAAAAAAGCCCTCCCCCAAATTTTTTTGTTCATTTTTTTAATCTTTCTTTTACACTAAAAATATAGGAACAAGACAAAGATTAATTTTTCTTCATTCAATAAAAGAGAATGCTTCTAAAAATAATTTGGAAATCCTTTTTTATAAATAAAACTTTAAGAAGATTCTCTGACCACCGCTTAATACCATTATGCACAATTGACTCCCATTATATTGAACACAGCTGGGATCACTTATTTATCTGTTTCTGAGGGGTATTAGCACTGAAAAACCAACCTGCATTTCTTTTAGCACTCTTGCAACATACAGGCTTCAGATTTTCTCACCACTGGCTAGTGGGCTTAATTTTATGGTGATGTTCATGCTGCCCTTGTTTTGAGAACTGCCTAGGTTTGTTTAAATGATGATAGTATTTAAGCACAATGCCAGCCTGAACAGCCCTTACTACGTGTTTTTATGACCTTGACATGCAGCAGCACTGACATTTATTATCAGTGACACTTGGATGATACTTTTGATGTCTCACTATCAAATTTGGAACCACTGAAGAGAAAAAGATCTTACTATTACACTTAATTTAAGCAGGACTTGTCCCACAGAGTGATGCCTAAGAATAGTACAGAATCTTGTTACTGCAGAACTCAAAGCACAGAAAATTAATACAGTATTAAAATACAGGAAAATGTGCTTGATTGGGACACTTCAGATGATGCAGACCTGGAAGTGGAACATTCAGGAAGGATTCATCTGAGCACCCAAAAACCACCTTATCTCTGTGGTAGCAAAACTCTAGTCACCTGCCTAGATAATCAGTGCTTACCTTTCTTTCTCTGCATGTCAAGCCAGCACTGCAATCAGTGATTTGATGCTGCTCTGAGTGCTTTCAAAGCATCTGATACTGAAAGCAATAATGTTTCCTCTCCAACAGGCCAGGACAGAATTGAGATCAATCTCTGCACTGTACAGGCTGGTACATGATGTAGCTCTATTTGCTTCTGCTGTGCCACAAAATAATGGAGGAAGTCCATGCAAGTGGAAAAAATGGCTCAACATATACAGCCAACAGGGAGGCTCTCAATAAAGACTGTACGTACTCCTAAAACAGCCAGAATACTCAGGCAACACTTCTGTCAGTCATGTCCTCCACTGCTACTATTAGTGACTGAGTGGGCATATAAAATTTGGGTTGAAAATACCTCTACTTGTAGAGCTTAATGTAGAAATAACCTTTTGCCATAGAAATACACAAAATATCAGATGGAGGTTGTTGGCAGATCTGGACTGGAGGCTTTCCTACATGGCAGAATCTTGTAATAGATGTATCAGCATCTTGGGACTACCAAGCACTAGAGATGCAAAATCACATGCTATGGGAACACAAGCTACATTCTTAGTATTATGAGGTGAAATCCTGGGTAATTTGATCTCTGTTAATGGTTAAAGAAGGAAACAGCTTCTCAAAGAGGCAATCAATCTTGCTAAAGTACATGAGCATAAACTGAATCAGAGCTTCAAAAACTCACTTTACATTTTATGTAAAAATAGAAAAAGTAATATATGTAATAGAGCCATTAAATTGCATGTGCATTTGTGTGCAAGTTCTCTTTCTTCTCTGCCTTTCCTCCCCAGCTTGATAACTATATTGTTGATAGGAATAAAATATCAGCCTTTACTTGTACACATACCTGAGATCTTGTAAGTCATTACAACGTGTTTTTGAGATTTGCCACTTCACTGCTCTATAAAAAGCTTCCTGAAAAAGTATTAACAGATGGCCTCTTACTCTCTGAGACTGTTCACAATACACCAGATGGCAACCTGAAAGAGAAAATCCAACTTACATTTTCAAAACTGAAAGAAATGTGACAATATCCTCACAATAAATATTCAGCATGAAGGTAGCAATAAATGATACATTTGAAGCAAACTGGCTTTATTTAAGCAGTGAATCTAGCCATCACTTTAAAACATATTGTAGAATGCTTCATATCCAATGCTGGAAGTAATTTCTGATGCAAGCAGAAAGTTTGCTTTAAATGAGCAACAGATTTATGAGAGGCAAGGTTATTTGAAAGAGTGAAAAAATGGCCCAATAGCCTTGGGCATTAAGTCTTTCTTTACTGGATCCCTGGTATCTGGTTTGTGTATGAGAACTAGTCTGTAAATTGCAGCATTTTTGCTATTAATGTTAGAAGTATTAAACCAAACTTACCAATCAAGTTCTTGTTAGGGGAGGCCAGCAACTCTTGCAGAAGTCTTCAAGAAAGCTTTCAAGCATTCCAATTCATCTGCCAGACAGCATCTTAGCTCAGCTCACAAGACCTGGAGAGCTCTTTTAAATACAATCATCCTTTCTCACTGTCAGTGGCTGTTCTCTGGGGCTAGGATCACCACTTCCATGAATCAAGGTATCCTTGATAGAGACAGAGACAGTAATCCCTTCCCCACAGCAAGTCCCACTAAAACACAGGGACCACTGATAGGGTTAGACATGTCTCCCAGCATACATCAGGAAACCAGAAAAGAGGTCTTTGTACTTCCACAGTATCAGCATTATGTTGATTCTTTTCTGGATAAACTTTTGAGTTGTTGCTGCAATTTCATTAACATTGATCCAAATTGTGATCCTATTCCTAATGCCAAAGTTACAAGGTATTCTGAAGAGATTAAAACAATTCTTAAGGGGAAGGCAGGTAACTTTCCAGCTCTCTCACACTGTGGATCATTTTAATTGTTCCTGGAAAGTTCACCTTTCACATTCAGGGCACACCTGGAAATCTCACCGATTTCTTCCTCCATAGAGGCGCCCAGGGATCTGGCAGTGGAAACACAAATCTGACACCTGCCTTAATGGAAATAGAGTGATCAGGTTTTAAACAGAATTCCCTACTGAAGTCAATATGCCATAAGCACCAAAGTGCCTGTAGGACAAATTACAAAACTACAAGCTAGACAGCTGTCCTACTATTGCTCATAAAATGAAACCAATTCTATAAAACTGCTATTTATTATTAATAATATTAAATATTTATCATTATACCAGATGTATGAAAATTGTAACAGAGAGTTTTGCTCTTTGCTTTCATATTGGCAAACAAGCCCATTTTCAAAAGTTATAAGCAATAACAAAATTAGTCTATGGAGATAAGACAATTATAGGACTAAAGCTGGGCTTTTTGAGACAGTATACTACCATAGAGCTAAAGGACTTTCTTTGTTAGTCCAAGACAGTGGACTGTAAGAGCAGATTGTAGAGTTTCAGGGGGGAGAAGAAATCTGCTAAGTTCCAACCTACAGATTCCACCTGGAGCTCGAACAACTTATTCACCCTAAAGCAAACATTGGCTTGTCTGCTAATATTGTACAACTTTATAATTTTCTGATTAGACTATAGATCCATAATGATAAAAAACCATACTGTACAAAAATTAATCTACAGAACAACACAGGATAAAACAACATCCCAATGGGAATATTAATATTTTTTTCAGTTGTTGTCAAAGCCACCAGTAATATCTTAAAGCAGCAGTGTTTAAATGGTCTTTTACACCTGACAAAAAAAGTCTGCTTTTGGATCTTGATATTGCCCACTTTGGAAAGTGATAGTATCACCATATGAATAGCTAATCCAGTGCCCACCTGGTGCTCATCCCCTTCTGAAATCTGGCCAGACTACAACCTTCATTCTGGCAACAAAATACTAATTCACATCCCTAATTGCAGTGCTGCCTCAAGACAACCACTTGCAAATAATACACTCCTTGCAAAGCCACTGGAAAAGTTCAGACACATTACTAGGAAAGGGAAGGCAATTGCATTGCTTTGATCCATGTTTTTCACATAGGGGCCAAGTTCTGCAAGGCAGGAGACGTGTCTTAGGCCACTCACTCCTTCCTGCTCAGGCTCTAGTCCTACTCTGACTTACTGGTGAGCTAAATCAACAGGAGGAAGGGGAAGAAAGAAGCGTTTCTTGGTGGGTTATCAAGCTAAACTGGTTTCCAGGGAATCAGACATGCACCAAAAAGGGGCAGAGCCAGCCAGATGTGAACAGCAGCTCGGAGGTGGGACAGTCCCTGCTGTTGGCAGCTGTCTCAGACACAACTCAAACCTCCCACCTCAATGGTCTGTATGGTGTCTGGCACTGCAAATGGGAGATTTGATACACTGAACATTTTCTAGGAAAAAACTCAAACCAGAGCACCACTTAAACTAGAAATCTACCTTTGAAACAATGCAAATCTGCTAATCCCAGTCCCTTTCATGCAGCCACACAAGCAGAGAACTTGATTTACTTTATGAAAGAGGCTAAAAAAGCAGAGTTCATATTATATTTAATTTCCCCAGCTCATTTAATGATCAAACACATGAGAGTCCTCAATTGTATCCTGCAAGCTCAGGTTTCCATTTAAAACCTGAAGGAATGACATGTTATAACAGATGATGATGGCCTGACACCATTCACTCTGGAGCTGGCAGGCCGGAGGAAGCCCTCTCCCAGTGTGCAAGCTCAAGAAACAGAGATGCCAGACCTGAGGAGATGACTGCCCTGGGTTTTAAAAGCACTTAAACCATTCAGCCCTCAGTCAGTGACTGCTGTCTGTGAAGATCATCATAGGGAGGTGCTGGTATTGCACCAAGTGGGTTGGGGTTACTGACCAGGAAATAGAGATCATGGAAGTGCAAGTTGGCCTCAGCAGTGAAGGTGCTGTGCTGCCCAAGAAAAGGACACATCTTTACAGCCTGATTCCCATGCCAAATGTAACTATTATTAATAACATCCTTTGAAAGCTAAATATCATCCCTCAAACTTATCTCTGTGTCCTGCATGTAACATTTCCAAGGAATAATCGTTTCTTAAAACCAGACACTTTTAAACTAATGTATTTTGCTGCTCCAGCCCAAGAGGTACCTCTGTTTTCAGTTCACAACAGAAGTTCCACTCACCTGGTTTTATTTCTTTAAATTTTCAGTTCAAGATACACTGGGAGTTTTTAATGCAAACATGACTTTATATTCTCACTATTCAACAGGTTCCCTATGAGCTTATCTGTACAGATAGTGCTTTTTTGGAATACTATATTTGGTTCCATTCTTACCAACTGTAGCATAAATCATAATGTATCATGCAAGTGTAGAAGTGGTGTGAGAGAAGGAAACAGGACTTGAGGAACTACCAAAATGCCTTGGTCTTGGTTTCTGTCTTGGTCTAGGAAAAAAATCAACTGACACAAGAATGCTGGAAATGTCTCCTTCATAAATACATGAAGCATATTTCTTAGGGATGTAGTATTCAAACAAGAATTGGCATTTTAGCTGGAGACAAATGCACTAATCACGGTCATGAACACAGCTGAACTTAATGCCTCAGCAAAACTATTCAGTAATGGCATTATTCATGATAAAGGAAATGAGTATTTTCAGGATAGGACACACTCAAAGAATACAAACAGAATCCTTTGTGCCTGCATTTATGAAGAAATAATTCAGAGTATGTGTTTGACCAACTTGCTATTAAAATGGTAGCACAGTTCTGGACATCCTTTAAAGAAAGGTGTCTGAATGAGAAAGACATACTCTATAAATTGCTTTTAATTGTCCAGATGACCAATTCCTCTACCACTGAGTAGAAACAGATCAGAGGGAAAAAAGCAGAATTGAAAGATTACAGAACAGTAGAGGTTATTTTTAAAGTAAATTGAAATAAACAAATCTTTTACTTTTATTCATTCCTAAACCTGCCCTTTATTAAATAGTGACTGATTTATTCTACATTTGAAATTGTAAAGACACAACAAATAGGACTCTGAGACTATCTATAATCTACTTTTAACCATCTCTGCTTCAGACACTGATTTTCTCTTCCAAGCTAATTAGCTAGCCCTGTCAGGAGAAAATGCCAATGCAGTTAAAGTGACTATATAAAGAATTAGCAGTTAAAATTTCTGAAAATCAGATTCATTTTCTAAACTACATATCAAGTCAAAATTGCCAACTTTCCACATAAGACCAATTGATATTAAAAGCATGGTAATTTTTCATATTGTTTAAAACTTGAAAGCACTACTTACAACTTGCTTCTAATACCAAAAAAGAATTTTAAAAAATAGAGAATAGAAGCACTCCACTACTCTTATCCCACAGCTGTATTACTTATAGCTACTGCTGATTAACGAAATCATAGGTCTTTATTTCAAATGCAAAATGAAATGTTTAGTGGCAGCTAACATCCCAGAGATTCTGGTTTTTAGGCTCCTGTTCTTTGATGTGTTACTGACCTCTAGTTGAGAAGCTCAGGAATTACAGAGCAGAGCCGCTCCCACATCGGAGGTGGCATCGGAAGAATGCGTTCAAAATCCTAACAAAGCAAGGCAAAGCCAGGAGAACCTTGCCTCCTCCCAGCTGTGGTCTCGAGGAAGAGGCGATGCACAGTGGAGCTGGGCCTTATCTGTAAGCAGAGGGAAGGTTTACACAAGGCTTGTGGGCGAGAATTTATGTAGAACATTGTGTTTGCCTTTCCTAGTTTTTAGCTTTAATGTCTTGTGATTCATTTAAACTTCCCAGGAAAAGTGAAGTACTATTGATTTGTAATCGAGGATACAATAAATTTTGAGGAATCAAGACTTTTCTCTTCTTTTAAACTAAAATCTATGAGAAAGTTTGAAGGGAGAGAGATGTGGGAGCCTTATGAAGCCTCACTAGCACAAAAATTTCATCCTATGCTCCTAAAACCTTGCCACATTTACCCAACACATTCCTCAAAAGTGAACAACTGACCTTAAAACACAGAGCACCAAGACATATTTTTTCCCTAGCAGAAATTAAATTCTACTGATTAACACTCAATCCCCCACTGAAGCAGGTCTCTTCAGCCTGCTGGTTCTTTGGTGGCACTAGCACTGGGATGGCTGTGCCACAGATTTTTGGCCTGGACTCATTAAAGCATTTTAAACACAAACTCAGCTAACACACATCAGTGTTTTATTAACTAGAAATGTATTTAAGTGCATGGCTTAGTGCTTTACTAGGCCCTCAATGTTATTTGATAAAGGTAAATGAAGGCTGGCACTTACTCCTTTCACAAAGAAGAATCCTTAGACAAACCATCCTTTATTAAGGAAGTGAAAAAAGTAATACCTCATTTGCATGGCTTTATATCAGAAAGAACATTGTTGCTTTAACTGAGCAAAATGCAGAAGATACTTGGGTGTTTCCACCAAACATTTTCTTGGAAAAGAGTAATTGCAGGCAAGACTAGCAGTTATAGAAACAAAAAACCCTTCAATGAAATGAGGGTTTGCAAAATCTTAAAATATGAAGATCCTTTTTAAAGAAAAATCCATTATAGCTTCCCTGACCAGAATGCTATACCTCCAAAATAAATAGCTTTAATCTCTGCTAATCTTATTTCAGTAAAGAAAATATAAAGTTGGTGAGAAGAAAACGATTATTACATCAAGTTCAATAAGTCAATCTACTTTTGACATCCCTGATCTTGTTTTTTTTAGTAAAAAACAGTATCCAAGTTTTCCAGCAGAGCAGATAAAGGAAAAAGATGAGTATCCCACAGCTGCACATAATGAGGGCTCCTGAAGTAATGGATCATATCCTTCTTACTGTGAAATATTCAAGAGGGCTCAAGTAAAGAGAATAATTTCCTTCAGCACAAGATCAAACTCAGTTTGAAACCAGGAAAATGTGGGAAGTATTAGGCTAGGCTGTAGGTTCAGTCAAGGATAGGTATTATATACTTCATACATGCCAAGATTTGTCTTCTAGGAATTATGTCCTAATTCTACTACCGGGAAAATGTTTCAGAAAGGGCTCTGTTCTTTAAAGCTGGAATAGCAGAGACAGAGATCAAAACAAACTTTTTCCAGACATGTGATTAATATTTGCCCTCTTATTAGGCAATTTCTTGGGGGAAAAAAAAGAAAAAAAAAGCCCTGCTTAAGTCACTGCAGATCTCTTGCCAGGGGAAGCATTTTTCGGCTGTGCAGAGGCTGTGTAGCCTGGCTTTCCTGGAAGCAGGAGAAGGATCTGACAGCAGCAGGGGGTGAGCTGTGAGGCAGTGCAACAGAGCTTGATGCTGGCAGTAAGATGGGAATTAGAACAAAAAGCTGTTGCTCCATTCCTCAGAGAAGAAGGAGAAACATACAGTCCCTGAGCTGGAAGGGACCCACAAGGACCATCCAGTCCAACTCCTGGCCCACTCTTCCTAGAGCACTGCAAACAGAAATCGCCTAAACCCAATTCCAGCCCTCAACACTCTGCTAATGTGAATAATTATTTGTGAAGCCAGATTAGAATTGGCATTTTTCATTCCATAAAGAGATGCATGAATTGGGATTTTCCATCACTTTCTTGCTGCCCAAATTTCAGTTTTCCCACAAGACAAAAATGACAAAAAAATCAGAAACTTGAATTGACACTTGTGAAGTGAGTGGCTTCATTCTGATGCAGATGAGCACTCCTTCAGAGACCAAAATTTTTAGGTTTGCCTTTACTATTCTTACAAAGTAATTGCATTCTTATTTGTTATAATGCCCTTTTAAATTATGTCAAAATTATGCAATATAATAAAAATTGAAATAAAATTGAGATGAAGGTCCCTGATCTTATCAAAGCAAAACTTTTCAATATAGCTGTCACCAAAGCAATATCTCTACATAAGACAGTTTGATTTAATCAAATCAACACTTCCCTGATAAAAAATAAAGGGGAAAAAAAAAAAAAGGCTGCAGCCTGTTGCAGCTGGACACAAAATGAGTCACACAGATGCAGTTTGGGGTGTGGTGAAGGAAAGAGGAGCACTTCATTTTTTCTCTCAGAATTTATAGTTTTCTGACAATGGCCAGGGACTGGATAGTCAGGTTAACACCTTCCCAACTGCACTGGCTGTGAGAGATGTCCATCAAAAGACATGTATCAGAAAGAATGTGTACATGTCTATGTTTACAGTTACCGTCTTGGGAAAGTCTTTAGAAACTATGTCAACAAGATCGGAAAACTGAGTTTTCAGGGCAACATCTCACCCTTTTTGTTTTTTTTTTAAAAAAAAGGAAAATGAACAAAGAAGCTATCAACATTCTAAACAATCAAAAAGAAAAAAACAATAGGAAAAAATAAACAATGCTCCATACAATCAGAAGGCTGAAATTTCAGGGTGAAATCTCACCCTTTCATTATTGGAAAAAAAAGAATAAAAATGAAAGCTTGTCTAGCATCAACACCTGCTTGTGGATGGGCCATCGGGGTGATCACTCATGCCATCTGCATCTGAGTCATCATCTGATGGCCCACCCATTAGATGACTTACAATTTGGTCACAGCCTCCAGCCTGCTCACCGGCTGGATGCTGCCTCTGTGGTTGCAGGTCAGGATGAACACACTTCGCAGGTACCCAGCGTACCCCAGTATCTGTGGATACACAGGCATACCAGCGCTCTGAAGCAATGAGGTCATAGGGACCCTCCTACTGTTTGGTGACCAAATTCCTCATTCAAACCTTTGCCTGATGCTGAGGTGTCTCATCCGAAGCCCACAAGGAAAGGTGGTCATTCAACATGACCAAGTTACTGGAGTTTTGCGGCACTGTGAGGTGATTGAGGGTATATAAAGCTTTTCCCAACCGACTGTACGGGGTTTCACCCTGCATTCCCCATTTCTGCTTCTGCAGAACTCACTTTAGTGTATCATGAGTGCATTCTACAATAGCCTGACTGAGAGAGAATGAGGGATACCAAACTTATATGACATACCCCACAGCTGCAGGAACTGCCGCACCTTCTGAGATGTGTAAGCAGGACCATTATCGGTCTTCACAGCAGAAGGCACACCCAAGGCAGCAAAGGCCTGCCTCCAATGGGCAAGGACATCACAGGTCTTTTCTCCTGTGTGAGCAGAAGCCCACATGGCAGAGGAGAAAGTGTCCACATTGACATGCACATACCAGAGCTGACCGAACTTGGCAACTTGAGTGACATCCATCTGCCAAAGCTCCAAGGCCCGAAGGCCCCTGGGGTTTACCCCTGCCGGCAAAGGCGCAGCAAGCACATGACAGTCGTCACAAGACTCAACGATGTCATGAGCCTCAGCTGACGTCAGCTGAAACTGTTTCTGCAAAGTATGTGTGTTCTGGTGGAAGAATCCATGCGATGCCTTGGCCTGGCCGAGTGTATCAGGCTGAGGCACAACCCACGCAGGGTTAGCCAACTTGTCAGCTCTCGCGTTACCTTCTGCAATGAACCCTGGCAAATTGGTGTGACTCCGCACATGCAGAACATAGTGCAGATGCACCTGGGCCTGAATGGCATTCCATGGGGCCTTCAGTGAATGAAACAAGGCAGGATTGCTGACCTCCTTCAAGACTGAATGACCCAACCGCTGGGCTATACCGGCCACGTAGGCAGAATCCGTGACCAAATTGGAAGGTTCCTGGGAAAACTTCTGAAATGCCATGACAGCAGCCCGTAATTCCACCAATTGGGCTGACCCAGCCTCACGACTCTCCAAAACCTGCCACTCAGATCCATCCTTCCAGGTAGCAATGGCCTTTCCAGTCCTCCCCGAACCGTCAGTAAAGGCAGTGGGGCCTTGCACAGGCTCCTGACTATGTTTGGGCCGCAAAGAAAGTTCAGTGAAGTTTCCCACTTGCAATAACTTGTAACTGGGCAGATGATAGGTGATCCGTCCAGAAAAATTCTCCAGAGCACTTTGCATGGAAATACTGTTCACAAAGCTCCAGTCAAAGTCCTCCCGTGGTACCGGGAGCACAATCTTTGCGGGATCTGCACCCATCAATTGCAAACACTGTTGCCAGCATTTGATTATCAAGCGAGCTATCAGATCAAACAGTGCAGTCACTGTCTTCTGCAGCTGATGGGGCAGGAAAATCCATTCCAGGACATGCAAGGGATCAGACCACTCATCATTCCACTGGCCAATGATACCTGCAGAATGCAAATCTGGAGTAACAATGAACACAGCGACATCAATGGAAGGGTCAATGCGATAAAACTGACAAGCAGAAACTGTTCGCTGAGCCTCCTCCAGCACCTGCCGTGCCTCTGGCATCAGTATCCGAGGTGACTTTAAATCAGAGACCCCCTCTAACAGAGCAAACAAGGGAGACAGTTGTGTCATTGTCAGTCCCAAATAGGGATGCAACCAAGTAATGACACCCACCAATTTCTGGGCATCATTTAGTGTCTTCACTGAATGCACAAATTCCACCTTTTGATGTTGGGACTGTTTGTTCCAAAATTTTGACCCCCAAATACTTCCAAGGAGGCTGTTGCTGAACCTTTTCTGGAGCCACTTGCAGCCCATGAGAATGCAAGGCGGTGAACAGCTGAGGCTGTATCCTATGCAGTTCACCCTGGGTGGGCACAGCCACCAAGATGTCATCCATATAATGATAGAGATGAACATCAGGAACCTG